TGTAAATTGCCTAGTGTCAGGTATGTCTTTATCAGTAGCATGAAAACTGACTAACACAACATGATTCAGCTCCTCCCTATCCCTTCCTTCTTTTGTTCCATACCACTCTATCCCTGGATCACTAGGTTTCAGCAATATTAATCTTCTAATTGTTCCATGGGCACCCAAGTTTATTCCAATCTGAAGGCTTTTGTACTCTCTGACCCCCTTGCCTAGCATGCTCTTTTTATGACTGTCTCCTTTTAATTTGGATTCCAGTTCTGTCATCACCTTCTCAAATAAACCTTCCTTGACGCATGTATCTAGGGTCATTTCTGCCTGACCTTAGTCACTTACAATTATTTATTTCCAGCACTTATCACTCCCTGAAATTATCTTATTTGCTTTCTTATGTACTATCTTTCTCATTACAATGTAAGTGCCAAAAGGTCAGGGGTCTTATCTGTCTTGTTCATTAATGAATCACTATGCCTAGAATAGATCTTGACACATAGTGTATTTCAATAAATATTAGTCAAATAAATAAATGACTAGAGAAGTGCCTGGGACTTGTTAAATGAGTGCCTACTCTCTTAACTCTTTTCATCTCCACCCCTAAAGATGTTCAAGGTGACAGCCTGGTCATTGGAGATGCTAAGGAATAATATAAGAAACTTCTGGCCAGGTGCAGCGGCTCATGCCTGTAACCCTAGCACTTTGGGAGCTGAGATGGGTGGGTCACTTGAGGTCAGGAGCTGGAGACCAGCCTGGCCAATATGGTGAAACCCTGTCTCTACTTTAAAAAAAAAAAAAAAAAAAATCAGCCGGGCGTGATGACACGTGTCTGTAGTCCCAGCTACTTGGGAAGCTGAGGCAGGAGAATTGCTTGAACCTGGGAGGTGGAGGTTGCAGTGAGCTGTGAGCTGAGATCATGCCACTGCCCTCTAGCCTAGGCAACAGAGCAAGACTCTGTCTCAAAAATAATAATAATAAAAAAGAATAATATAAGAAGTTTCTAACCATGAAGGTTTAGAGCAAGCTTGCAGAGGTATATAATCTATTCTGTATTTCTGGAAACTGTACAGAAAGATCATTGGAAAGAGGATCTACTAACGACTAGGTTGTGTAGCTTTGGATGAGGGGTTCTTTCGGGCCTTAGCTTTCTTTTTTGATCTTTGAGTGAAATACTCTCTAAGATCCTCTGTGGCTTTCTAATGGTTCTGTGATAGTAAAAGAAGAATTTAACCTTTGTGGTTATTCTGCGATTGCTTCCTGTCTCACTTTATTATTCTTCACTGGCTTGTGCCCTGGGGTCTTCCCACTGTGGACTGCACCACCTGCTGTCTTTTACCGACTGGCTTCTGTTTGAACTTGACCAGTGGGCAGCATCAGCATGATATCAGAGGTAAGGAAGAGAGAGGCATTCCTTCCACTCTGGCATCGTATCTCTGACTGTAGTGTGGCCCCTTCTTGCTGGAAGGTCCCTCCTCCAAGGCTCTAGACCTCACTGAGGTCCACTAACATCCTTTCCTCTCATTGCTTCATTAGGAGAGGTAAAGCTTCCTGTTATTTTTAGTTCCAAGGTACATCAACAGCTAATGGAAAGCTTCCTCACAGGAAGCTTCACCTCTCACAAGTTCCCCTAATCTTGCTCAAGCCATTGTTAGCAGATTTTTTGTTAAAGTCAGTTCATGAAACCATCTGATTGAGATTTGGTTCCATGTAAGATTCTGATCGACAACCCATTTTGAAATATGTCCAGAAAAGCAGATTCTAAGAACTTCCACTGAAAATCATTTGTGGTGTTAATAGACATTTCTATAATGATTTCTTCTTTGGGTTTAATCTGGAACTCTCATACTGCAGTTGAAGTCTCACATTCTCTTGTTCCATCTCCAGTGGAGAGAAATGTCATTCTGCCATTCTCTCAGTAACAAAGCTCCAAAGGCATGGCAACTCCTCATGCAGAGTTGATGAGAAGACATCTCTCTTCCCTGTGGTCCTATTTACTCATTTTAAATCAGAACATTCCCCTCCTCTGCTTTTTTTTTTTTTTTTTTTTTTTTTTGGCATGACAGTGGCACATTCTGCCAATAAGCCCAGGAAATTCACAGTATCTATTTATCCCAGTAGACACGAGCCTCTTATCCACCTTGTTGTGTCTGGCAAGTACATGGGATTAATTGCACAGTCTCCAAAGAGGCCGGACTATCACATTTAGCTGAGTGCACTAATAAAAGGATTATTATTTAATAGTTCAACCTCCTTCAACTCTCCTTTATCCTGCCTCCCTGAATTGGAGGACAAAATTAATGAGGCTGCTGTGATCATGCCCAACAGCTTCTGTTTGCCACCCTTTCAGCAAATTCTTTGCTTTTCTGCACTTCCCCCTCAACTCCGAAGTCACTTTTATTCTCCAAGTTGATGCAAAGATGGATTGTGACAATAGTTTGTGGGTGGCTGTCAGAATTGATGGTGGTTTGTGTGGGAAAATGCATAGCAGGTTTGAGAGCTATGGTTAGGATTCCACATAGAGTCAATTAAAAAAAAGTTCTACTCACAAGGAAAGGTCAAGCTGAGAGTTTTAATTATGAGGCTGTTATAATATATATATCATGCTTGGATGATCTGGGTTTGAAGAGTTGCAAAATTATGCAATATACTCAACTCTCAAATGGGCATAAAAACAATGTGATGTTTTGAGGGAATGACCTAGAATTTTGCAAAGAAGGTAATGAGGTGAAGTGAAAAGGATGGAGTGTTGAGTGACCTGGGTTCCACTCAGGCCCAGCTCATTCACCTCTTTGGGCCTAGCATCCTCACCTGTAAAATAATGTACAATTGGAGGCTTTTAAAAAACTCTGCTACTAGTAATCACTTTATAAGTTACCTACTGGAATTGTAATTAGCTCCATTTTATGGAGAGAAAATTGAGACTCAGAGAGAGATTGAGAACATTGCTTAAGTTCACACAGCCAGCAAAGTTATAGCCTGTAATAACTGACTCCAAATCTTGGGTTCCAGACTATCAGAGTTTCTACATACCTTGAAGACAACTGGAAAAAATTTAAATTGTGCACCATTTTCTAGATGAGGATAGTCCTTAGGAAATCTCCAAGGACTTGCTCAAGGCCATTCATCTAGTAAATGGTGGAATGGGACATGAACTCGTGACTGTCTGACATCAAAGCCTAAGCTCTTAGACATGATGCTGGATTTCCAGTTATGATTATTAATACATCCATCACTGTCTCAAAGATGTACGGAGGATATGATCAGAAGAGAATTCAGATTTATACCCAGTAAACTACCTAATTTAGAATTATAGGGAACAGCGTTCAGTGGTCTTAAATTCTGAAGTATATCTGCTAACCAGGAGGCAGGTGGAACTCTGGTTTTATTCTAGCACCCAGCACAATGTATAAGAAAGATGTCCACTTAAATGTTTTAACCAGCATTGTGCAATTTGGAGGATATCATGCTTAGTGAAAGGAACCAGGCACAGAAAGAAAAAATACTATATGATTTCACTTATATGTGGAATCCAAAAGAGTCAAACTCATAGAAGTAGAGAGTAAAATGATGGTTGCCAGAGGCTGGAAGTAGGTGAGAAGCAGGGAATGGGAGATGTTTGTCAAACGGCACAAAGTCTGTTAGATGGAAGAAATAAATTTTGAGATCTATTGCATAGCAGGGTGAGTGAGTCAGTAACAATGTGTATTTCAAAATAACTAAGGTAATAAATTTCAAATTTCTCACCACAAAAAAATGATAAGTGAAGTGACAGATGTGTCAATTTAGCCTGATTTAATTATTCCACATTGTGTACATATATCAAAACATCACATTGTATCCCATAAATGTATACAATTATGATTTATCAATTAAAAATAATAGTAATAAAAATCAGCATACTGCAATTGCTTGAACATAGATGCAAATACCAAACACCAAGTGCGCACCATATTAGAATTTATTATAATACAAACAAGTCCAAACACAATATATAATCTAATTAAGAAAATATGAACATTTGCTTTTTTTCTATGGTAACTTTCTATTCCATTCTTTGAACTGGAATAGCCAACATTAGAGTCTTTTATTCACGTCTGGTAGGCTCCCCATGTTGAACCAGGAGGTACCAACTGTGCAAAGTGATCTTTTCCAATAGCAGGGTGTTCGCAACACACAAGTTCATGCCCACTCCGGTCTGTCTTTTATGGTTTGTCTGTCATTCCCCTCATTTCCTTCCCCATGAGACATTTCAGCCATCAAGTTGTTCAATAAGAAGACACAGCATGGTGGTGCATATCATCATTGCAATGTCCAACCAAGGACACAAATCATGTAGCAAGAGAGAAGCTAGTTAACCGTCTTTGAAAGAGGCACCACAAAAACCCAGGATAAGGCAATTGCTTTAGTGCCACCAGCAGCAGCCGTTTACATGACAGGCTTCAAAATTCAAGGCTTTATTGTTAAAACTGGCCTGAAAGAAAAGGCTTACAGGTTTTTAAAGTTTTAAAGTCCAAAAAAACCCATTTCATGATGTCCAAAATTATTACTATAAATAATAATAAATTAAAAGTCCTTAGATAATTTGAAATAAATTTTAAGAGATATGTATCAACCTAACCCAATGGGCATTCACTTGCATTTTAAGCAGAAGACAGCAATTCACTAGAGTGCCTTCGAGAATTGGACCTCTTTTAAATATCATTTAGCAAAATATAAAACATATTCAGAGGAAAAGAGATCACAATACTACGTGGTAGAGCCTCTCTCGTCAAGAGAAGTAATAAATTAAAGTGTCAGAGGAAAATGTTCCCAATGCACACCCAGTTTCTACACATCAACAATTAATTGTTACATACAATTAAAAACATGGAGCAGAGAGCATGGAGAGTCACATACATAAATTCCATTTTATGTATGTTCTCAGAAAGGAATTGCTTAACCTTTGTAGATATTGCACTTTGACTCATTCATGTATAGCTCAGACTAGCATTTTTCAGAGCTAGATGTTTAAAAAATAAATAAATAAATATATTTATATATATCTATATATATTCAGTATAGGTAGCCTTTGGTCAATGTCCATTCATGAGGGGATGTGGTGGAATTGCATCATACACACATTTAATGAACACATGTTCAATTACACGTGCTTGGCAAAAAAGAGACAGAGAGAAATGCAATTTAAGGGAGGTGAGAGAATCTGCTTACCATTCCACTCAATGAGCATACGCCCTGGGGAGCGTGGGAGATGGGAGATCTGTCCCTCAGTCAGACGACTTCCATGAACTTCTTTCAGTAGAAGCATCTTGATGCACCAGGGTGGTCCTAATGTTCTCAGATACATTAGAATCACACAATATGGTCCCTAAATGAGAGCCAATTTTGCCTTGTCATCAACCAGATAAACAACAACTTGTTCCAGTGCTAGAGAAAAACTTAGCTGTGTTAGGTTTTGAAAGCAAAGGAATATAATCTCCAACATGGCTGTTTTTTGAGGATCTTTTGCAAAGGTAACTTTGGCTCTGTAAGGTTTTATCTTTTGCACTGACTTTAGAATTTAATCCTTGGCTCTGATGAGATTCTATTGCAATCCTTTAAAAGGGGTAAGAATTAGGATCACCAGGACTAATATAACCTAAGTTTATATTGAGCTAGTATTGACAGCATTGGCTGAAGTTTAGGGTTTGTGTTGCTGTGGGGCCTTTTCTTACCCCATTCATTTATTGCAAATTCCCTTAAAAAAGATAGACATGTCTTTCAACTTAGGGACAAAATGCAGCAAAAATCCAGCCTGAGGAACTAAGTATTCCAGGTGGACTGTCTGCTGTTTGTTTGGTCACCAAAAATATCATGTAATTTCAAAGTCATTTTGGCAGATTTATTCCAAAACAGGGATGAATTCGAATACTGGGAGTCAGAGAGAAGTTAAAAAAAAAAAAAAAAAAAAGAAAAGCTAAATAAGAGGAATATAATCGTGTGTGTGTGCGTGTGTGTGTGTGTGTGTGTGTGTGTGGTGCACACATAAGTAGCAATTTCCAGGGATGCCCCTATTTATTACATCCTAGAAGTGTTCTTGCCTTGGACAGGCAAGGGTAGAATAAATAAACACACTTATATTTTATCATTTTACAAAGGATCTGGGTTAAATAGCTTTACCAAGAACTGGCACCACCCTTTTAAGCCATGTGCGTCAAAGGGCAGACAAGGCGTCAGCATGGGCACCTTTTGTGTCTGTATTTGTGGCGAAATGGCAATGCCAGCTGGGCTGTGAGGCAGAGCTGAGAACACCTCCTCTCATACCCGCAGAGCTGCAGTTCCTGACCCTTGAATATTAAATTCAGTTCGGAAGTCACTTCAAATAAAACAATTTGGTGAGGGCCTCAGCAAGCAAGGAGGCAGGGTTGGCAACTCGACAGGCTTGAGCTTCTCTAGGAAGCTTGAGTGATACCATAACAAGAAGCAATTTTGAGTAACGGGATCGTATGCAGCTGACACAGGAATGGGTTGAAACAATGGCAAGTGTGGGCTTATTTTTTTGTTTTTCTGGGCTCAAGAATTCCTCCTTTCCCCCTGCGCACCAGGCAGGGTCTTTGTTTTGGAGGAGATAGAGAAAATCTATACATAATGATAAATAGAAAACTGCCTCTTAGACCCCAAGTTTGAGGTCACAGCTATGTGGGTTTGGAGATTTCCTGAAGAAGCTCTGGCCAGAGTTTGGGTGGGATCCAATACTCTTCTCTTCCCACAGTGTCATTCTGAAGCTAGGAGTGCCAGGGCCACTTCAAGACCACAACCCTCTCTAGGACAAAGGGCACCTTGAAAAAATCCTGAAACGGTCATTATTGTTAGCTCCTGGGAACAGCACAGGGAAGTGATGAATGACCTCAGCTCTTGGAAGAAGAGTGCAGGCTCAGCTACGTGCTACTGGGATTTGGTAAGTCACATAAATGAAGGATTCCCAGTGACTGTGGATGGTACTAGGGTGAAATCACAGACTATTTCTCTACTTTGTGTCCTAACTGGTCACAGGATGATGACACAAGCTCCAATGGCATCTTCAAACTGGTAGGAACTTCCGCTGTCAATGCGACTCTGTGGAAATAAATGCATAAGTAAAAACAAGCTTCATGCTCTCCTTTCTTCTCTTGCATCTCTTCTCATCTACCAGTCTGAGAATTGCCCAGTCTGCTGGAGACAGGAAATCGGATTAGCACTCTTAAGGAGAGCTGCTCAGCCATAGGATGGGACACCTTCCCATCTGGAGATGGATTAGACAGAGGCAGTAGTTGCCACACCTAGGGAATCACGGGGATACTTTTATAGGTTTTCCATTTTTGTCATACTGGTACACCAGCATCTTGATGCAGTGTGAGTTTGCCGGCGAGATCCAGGGGCTACTTGTTATGGAAAAGTTATGATTGGTGTAGAACTGTACAGGCTGCTTCTGGCACTTGAAGAAGGCCTTGAGCGTGGCGGCTGCCATGGTGCGGAACCGCTTGCTGATGAAGCAATAGAGGAAGAAGTTGATGGCTGTGTTCAGAAGGGCTAGCATGTTGGCAATGTCGGACATGATGTGCACCAGCCAGCGGTTCTGGATGGGCGCCCCATAGAGGTGGTAAAGAATCATGATGATGCGGGGGGCCCAAAGTGTGGCAAAGATGGAGGTAATGGTGAACAAGATGGCGGTGGTCTTCCCCGTGGAGTAGCCACGGAGACGAAAATTGCTCTTCCTCCTGAGCTTGTACACAATGATTGAGTTCAAGATGAAGAAGATGGAGCAGGGCACCAGGTAGACGGTGAAGCAGTGGATCCAGATGAGGACGTGATGCACAGAGGTGCTGATGTAGTCTTCAGTCCAGATGTTGGGCCACCAGTAATAGGGGATGCTGGTCAGGAAGCAGGTGATGTAAACACTTACAATGACTTTCCGGGTGCGTGCTGGGTATGAGACCGTGTGGTACTTGAGTGGGTGGCACACAGCGATATACCTGTCAATGGTTAATGGAACAGTAATCCATATGGAGGTGTGGATGGATGAGAATTCCAGCACTTCTATGATCTTGTCGAGGACCTGAGGCATCTGCATGTTCAAGATGAAATCTTCCAATAGGAAGTCCACAAACACTATGAAAAAGAGGACCAAGATGTCGGCAGCAGCAAGTGCCAAGAGATAGTTGTAGGAGGATTTCTGCCTTCTTGCCACCAGCTGGGAGAGGATGATCACTGTCAAGATATTTGCTGTGGAGAGAAGAAAAACTGGTTTAGCTCTGAAGCAAAGATGACTTCATTGGCTCCTATGGGGGCCCTAGGCATATGTTTATTGTTTACTCCTATGGAAGTCAAAATGATTGAATCAATGCTTTTGAGGGACAACCTCGGCATTACAAATAGTACCTCATACAAACACGTGGATACTATTTTAAAGTTGTGCTTATATTCTAACACAACCATGAGAGGAGGTGCCTCCATTCCCCTCATCTTAGAAATGAAACTGGGGCTCTGAGAGCCTCACACAGCCATGAGAGGAGGTGCCGCCATTCTCCTCACACAGCCATGAGTGGTGTTGCCGCTATTTTCCTCACACAACAATGGGAGGTGGTGCCACCATTCTCTTCACACGACTGTGAGAGGTGGTGCTGCCATTATCCTCATCTTAGGAATGAAGCTGGGGCTCTGAGAGACTCACACAACCATGAGAGGTGGTGTTGCCATTCTCCTCACACAACCATGAGAGGTGATGCGGAGTTCTCTTCACACAACCGTGAGAGGTGAAGCCCACAACCGTGAGAGGTGGTGCCGCCATTCTCCTCACACAACTGTGAGAGGTGGTGCTGCCATTATCCTCATCTTAGGAATGAAACTGGGGCTCTGAGAGTTTAAGCAACTTGCTTAGAGCCACACAGTTGATAATTCATGGTGATAGGATCTCCTGATCCCAAATCTCATACTCTTTCTTTTTTTCAGTTGCATGAAGAATTTGGGGCCGAGGTGGCATTTCCTGCTATATGTGTTCAGGAAACAGACGGGACCATATAACCTCTTAAGAACCTCTTCAGAGCTTGGATTTTAGGATCTTTCCTTTTTAAGTAGATTTAAAATTGGAGGTGCAGAGAAGATTGTGACCTTCAGATTAATTTAAAAATAAATTGCATTTATTTTTGGAATAGGTAATCTACATACACATACATAATCAAAAATAATAACAAGGAAAAGTACATTTTCCTTCTACTCTTGTTCTCCAATCATCAAAATTCCCCTCCCTCAGGGAAACTACAGTTAATAAACAACCTATGCTTATATATGTCCATATAGTGTGCATGTATCAGGTTGGTGCAAAAGTAATTGGCAAAACCGCAATTACTTTTGCGCCAACCTCATATATAGTTTTTGCATAAACAGCAGCAATGTATTATTTTTTGTGGGGTCCTATTTGTTTTGAAAATACATCTATATAATTTCTGATCCGTTTTTTAAAAAAGTCTCCCTGAATTAAGCATGTTTAGAAAGTCATTAGGGACTCACTCCAAAATGATATTCCAATGCATAATATCTAGAAGTCATTCTACACGTTTATTTTCATTCATTCTCACAATCAACCCTGAAATTTGAACAACTGATAATGCTATTTTGCAAACTAAGTTCTCAGAAAGCTTATATTCCTTGTCTGAAGTCCAATGGCAGAGCTAGAATCCAGATCTCTCTCTCAGTCGCTCTCTGTCTCTCTTCCTTTCTTGGTAGCCGTTTAAAATGTTATACAATAGTTACCATGTAAAAATGTCTTATAATAAACACACCTGAAAAACCTGGTGTACTCATCACTCAGATTTAACAAATTTTAACATTTTGCCATATTTACTTCAGCTTTCTTTAAAGAAAGAAATGACACTATAGATAGAGTCGAAGTCTCTTCTGAAGAAGCTCTGTTCTCATTCTTTCCCATCTTCTTTCTCTAGGTGCAACCACCATGCTGCAGGCTGTGTGCAGTGACCAGTGCCACGTCTACATAGTCTTTCTTTCTTTCTTTTTTAGATGCAGGGTCTTGCTATGTTGCCCAGATTGGAGTGCAGTGGCTATTCACAGGTGCAATCATGGTGCTTTACAGCTTTGAACTCCAGGGCTCAAGTGACCCTCGCACCTTAGCCTCCTAAGTAGCTGGGACTACAGGTGCCCATCACTGTGCCCAGCCTTTTGCTTTCTTTTATACTGAAACTGCCATTCTACACACTGATTTTGTCATTCAACATTGTATTTCTGAGACCCATTTTTGTTGCTACATGAAGATCTAGTTCACCCATTTGAATGCCTACATAGCATTCTGCTGTAGGAACTTACTGATTTATTTATTTATTTATAATTTATTATATTAAATATGTTCATTCTTTTAAATTGGTTCCAGAATTTTGCTGTTATAAACCAAAGTTAATGTCTTGACATGACTTTCCATGAGAAGTACTTATATATGAAAGCTTATCTGGGGGAATGTATACGTGGAAGTGTATTTATTATGTTTTAGAGTATGTGCCCTCCTCATCTTTAACAGATACTCCTGAATTGCTTTGTAAAATTTTACTAATTTAGATTCCCAACAGCAGAATATGAGAATTCCAGTTGCTCCATATCTTCTCAGTATTACCAGTTTTGTTTTTTTTTTTTTTTAAGTCTATGCTGTTCTCATTCTTGTCCAAAGCACTTTGAAACAACATTTTGAAGTGGTAGAGAGTTAAGATACTGATTATATTAACTAGCCAGGATTCAAACCCAGGACCAACATCCATGCTCAAAATCAATTTGCAGTATTGGTACTTATTCCCAGTGGGGTGGGGGTACCATGAAGATATGCTGTACTGCACACAATGTAGAGAAAAATGGTGAATATGTCCTACTTAAGTCACTACTTAAGAAAAAATGCCCACTAAAGCAAAGGTCCTTATATTTGTAAACTTGATATTTCAAAACTGCATTCATGCATTATGTACCTATTCTGAGCTGTGTCGTGGAAGGGGATGGTGAACAAAATAGACATGGTCTGTTTAGCCTGCATGGAGCTTAGATTCTGTTAGGCAAGAAGAACATCAGCTGAAGAACCATGGAAGAAAATGCATTAACTGCAAGCTCTAGTGAATGCTATGAAGGAATGTTTTGGAGTAGGAATCAGAAAAATCTTTACTGAGATTTGGAAGACCAGGAAGAGGTTAAAAGGCAGAAAGCTTGGAAGGAGCAAGTGTTTCAAGCAAAGGAAACAGCAAATGCAAAGGTTCTAAGGGGGAGAAATATGAAGAGTTCGGTTTATTAAGACAAAGAATATTTATATTGAATTCTGCTTGCTTTGTAAGCATTCTTGCATTTTATAGCTCTCTTTTATTAAACAGCCTTGCTGTGTTGTGTTGAAAAGCACTTCAAAATGTTTTATTCATCCAGAAATTTTTCCAAAAAGTATTTAGCATCTACTTTCTGTGGGCAAATGCCTGTACATAGGCCTAAGGTGGATATACATTAGGTACTCTGGTGGATACCCATAAAGTCTCTACTCAGAGAGTGGAGAAACATCATATAAGTGGTAAGTATTAAAGAGATAAATGAGAACACAGTATACAGGAGCTGCTGGTGAATAGATAAAGAAAGGACAAAAGCTTTGGTGAAGGGTTCTGATTAAAGGCTTGGCTTGCAATCCCTGCTCCTCTGACCTAATCATATATAGTCAGAGCTTCATGGAACCCAAGCTGTAAAGAGGTTGAGGTCTAAAGGTCTATTGCATCAAGGGTATGGGAATCCAGTTGCTAAGAGTGTGGGATCTGGGGCTGGGCTGCATGGGTGTTATTACCACCTTGTCTTTAGACAAGTTTATTCAATATTTCTGTGCCTCAGTTCCCTTCTTTATGAAATGGAGTGTATTAGTCTGTTCTTACGCTGCCAATAAAGACATTTCCAAGACTGGATAATTTACAAAGGAAAGGGGTTTAATTGACTCACAGTTCCACCTGGCTGGGGAGGCTTCACAATCATGGCAGAAGGCTCATGAGGAGCAAAGTCACGTCTGACATGGTGGCCGGCAAGAGCTTGTGCAGGGGAACTCCCCATTATAAAACCATCAGATCTCATGAGACTTATTCACTCTCATGAGAACAGCATGGCAAAGACACAGCCCCATGATTCAACTACCTCCCACTGGGTCCCTCCTATGATACATGGGGATTATGGGAACTACATTTCAAGATGAGATTTGGGTGGGAACACAGTCAAACCATATCATGGGGTTAATAAGACTATACACCTCATAGGGTTATTCTGAGGGTTAAGTGAGATAATTTCAATAAAGTGATTAAAACAGTGTCTGGCATGTGGGAAGTGCTTAATGGATGGTAGCTATTGCCTGAGAGTCCATTCATGCAGCAAATATCAACTGGGCATTGACTATGCCAGGCATTGGATGAGGCATTGGAGATACAGGTATTAACAATGTGGACAGATTCCCTTTTGCCATGGAGTTTATAGTATAATGAGGGAGACAGACAATAAATAAACACACACACAAATGCACAACAGAATGTCAGATGTGATACTAGGAAGAATAACACCAAGGGATGAGACAGATTCATGGGGTAGTAACTTTTAGATTAAAAGCAACATTTCAGTCCAATCAAGGATGAAGAGAAGGGAGGCCAGATGCGGTGGCTCATGCCTGTAATCCTAGCACTTTGGGAGGCCGAGGGTGGTGGATCGCTTGAGGTCAGGAGTTCCAGACCAGCCTGGCCAACATGGTGAAAACCCATCTCTACTAAAAATACAAAAATTAGCCAGATGTGGTGGTGGGTGCCTATAATCGCAGCTACTTGGGAGGCTGAGGCAGGAGAATCACTTGAATTCGGGAGGCGGAGGTTACAGTGAGCCGAGATTGCACCACTGCACTCCAGCCTGGATTACAGAGTGACATTCTGTCTCAGAAAAAAAAAAAAAAAAAAAAAAAGGAAAAAAGAAGGGATCTAGGGATCTGTCATGCAAATACTTGTGGGAAAAAGATTCTAGGCAGTGGGATTGGCAAGTGCAACAGCCTTGTGATGAGAATCAGCTTGTTCTATTCATAGAACAGAGAGACATGAAAATGATTTCCCATTTTAGAGATGAGGAAACCAAGGCCGGCATTTTTAGATAATTTGATCAGAGTCACAAACAGAACAAGTAAGGGAGGCAGAGAAAAATGAAAATGGATACCCCAGCTCTGTCTGACTTTCTGGCTTATG